AAAAAGATGCCTTCGAATACACTACAGACATTTTATTAGAAGACTTAATTAATATAAATCAAGGTAATGATGATGACCATCATATATTACAAATAGAATCACGTATTCAAAGATTCGTTTTGACAATATTCAAATTATTAATCAATTAAATATAAAGATGAATTTTTTTCTATCGATAAATATTGATCAATATTTGCTAATGTCGAAGAAGTATTCATTTTTGATAATAAGTTATTCGAAATAAAAAACAAAAAGATAATATTAAAAGACTTAATGATTATTTTAGTGGAATTATATATTTATCTATGTTGAATTGATAAATATCAAGATGAAATGAAATTTTCTTATTAAGTTGATTTTTTTTTTTCATTAAGATTTATTTATTTTTAATATTAATTAACTAATATCATAATAAATGACTAGTTGTTAATAGCTTAAATGAAATAATTTTGAATAAAATTTTCAAATCTATTGTTTTTGGTCATTCATAAAATAAATTTGTCATGTAATAAATCGTGATATTTATTGACATGATCAATTCATAAATCTTATTTACAACAATAATAACACATACCTTGAAATATATGTACAACATGACATATGACAAATTTGAGACATTATTCTCTCAATTATAAAAAGAATCATTCATTATTTCGAGTTAGATGAAACGCACAAATATATTCTTAATTCTTGGTATAGGATGACTTGTTGGTAGAAAACAAAAAATGATTAAGGACAAATTGATGCATGAAGAAAACGGCAGATCAATGACAAAAGCATTATTATAATAATTGAGTCTTTTTTCGAAATTTTCTACCGTCATAAGAAAGATGAAAGAAAAGGTTGGGTATCATCAAGTACACTTGGTGATGAAGGTTTTTTGTAAAAACTTTACTCTTGTAGATCGTTATTTCGTCAACGGCAGATATGTTTATTAGAATTAATCATATACCTGTTTATAAACAAGGATCTAAATCAAGTATCATTCTCGATGCATAATTTTTCTACAAATATTGTTTCTGATTAGATTTTTTTTGTTGCGATGTACATAATCAATGTACACATTGCACTGATGAAAATATATAGACGATATCTACCTTCTAACTGTAACGCTTAATTGATTTTATTTACATGAAGAAATAAATCACCAACTGGACATTTCTATGTTCTTTGTTTATATCAAATCTCTTAATTCGAAAGCAAAATGTTTGAATTTTAATCTTAAATACACAAAATATTAACAACAGTCTTAAGTAGTAGCGTAATCAAGTTTTCAACGATACAAGAAGCTCAACCTCTTTAGCCACTTGTGTTGATTACGCCACTGTTCTTAAGTGAATTTTATTCATATAACATCAAAAACAAAAAGAAACAACATTTAATCACGTTCATAAAGTGTTAGAAAGTCTGGCATAAGTGCTGATCGTGGATTTGCATCAAATGGTATAATAATTACAGGTTTAAATGGTGGACCAGATATTTTATGTGTTGTACTTTCACCACCAGACAAACTACAAAATAAAGAATTTGAATTTTACATTCTAAATAAATTTTCGAATACGAATTATTTACCTATAAAGAAAATGTAGAACAGAAGAATTGATACCACGATGAACAATAATCAATCGATCAATAAAATCACATTCACGTAGGACACTGACAATAAATTTATCTAATCGAAAAAAGAAAAACAAAAACAACAAAATATATAACAACTGAATAATATATTGCTTGTTATACTTTGTCGTAAATCTTGTCGATCAAGTTCATTTCTAGGTGGTCCAAAAATACATGTTAAGGAAGCATTTTTCTTTTTATTTTGTTCAATTTTTGTTAATATTGTTTTAAATTCATCTTTTGTTGTACAAGTACTAAATTGAATATTTTGTGTATGAGCTAGAAGAAAAATAAAATGAATTAATTAATAAAATAAAAAACAAAATGATTACGATATTTTTCTTGTGTTTTCATTGCTGCTTTTATTGCAAATCGACTTGAATCAAGACCATAACATTGATCAACATGTTGACAAGCAATTAATGGTAAAACACCTAAAATATTCAATTTATTATTCCAAAAAATTAAATATAAAAACAAAACAAAAACCAATATCAGAATAATATTGAAGAAATACAGTTGATGTTGGTTCGAGATTACATAATTTTAATACTTCACCATAAATTAATTCATAAGCTATTAGATTTGATATTCCATAGGATTGTAAATTTGGTTCAAATTTCATATCAAATAAATCATAATAAAATGGTTTATTTTTATCACCGATAATCTTTTCATAGGATGTTTCATTAACAATAATTGGCCAACGTTGAGATCTAAATTGAAGAAAGTAAAACAAAAAAGGAAAATAATTTAAAAAAAAAATTTTATAAACCGTCGTTCGAAATATAAATGATCAATTTGACATTCTCGTCCTGGACCATTCTCAAAATATGTAAATAAACGTTCTCTAGCTGCTTGACGTTCCTTTTATTTTTTTTAGAATAAGATTAAATTAAAATAAATATAAAAAGAAAACAATAATAAATCTTACTGAATTATTAACTTTTCGATCAAAATAACCAATAACAACATTTTTTTGATCTTTTTTATTTGTATAAATACGTATTGGTCGCCAATGATGTAAAACATATTCAATATTCGATATATCTTTTACTTCTTTTTGAAGAAAATTATAATAATGCTATATATATATATATAAAGAAAACAAAATCGATTTTTTCAAATAAAATTTAATACAACACAAAAAAAAAATTTACTTTAATAATCAAACGATCACGTTTTTTATATATATCTATATCATCAATAGGTAAAACTAACATCATCTGATTGTCTTCATTTGATGCTAAAAGAAAATTTTCATTACATTGAACTGATAAAGAATTTCTTACTTGAATAATCATTTGAAATTGATCGATTAGGAATTCCAAGTGCTAAATCACCTGAACGTGTTTTACCTAAATCAGCTATACATGTTGTTAAATATTCACTTGTTGCTGACTAAAATAATATTTCATATATAATTATAAATAATATTAATACAAAAAACAAATTATTACAGTTCGTTCAATATCTCGAATAGGACATAAATTAACATCATTCGTTCGAATTAATTTACGTATAGATGGATGAAGTGCTCGATCATAAAAAAGTGTTTTAGCAACTGATTGAAATCGACTTTCAAGTTGACGTTGTTTGAGCTAGAGAATTTTCATAAAATCAAATAATAATCATAATCATAATAAACTGATTAACGAACTTTTAATTCTTCTTCATAGGAAATATTTTGATATGGCATATACAATTCAACAGCCCTAAAATAAGATAACTATATATAAGACAATACAATGTACATAGCTTTATTTGATCCTCACACGACCACCTGGAGTTCGGACGAACCTCAGTCAACTCCATCATACCGTTATAACTACATAATATTAGGTGAAACTGTTCATCTTGTAGATATGTTCTAGTGAAGACTTGGAAAGTATGATAATAACATCAGCCAATTAAGTTCAATTATATTAATATGAATAGACAGTTCCAAATTACATGTGGATGTTTGTCGGTTACATATGGTCTATTCGAATGTTATGCATTTGTAACATTTATTCGAGTCATGTCTTTTAAGGATATATGTGGGACACTCAGTACAATACACTGGTACCATTACTCAATTATGCACAATTGTTTTTCTTAAGATAGAGCAATTCAAAGTTAGTGCAAATACTAAATTGCCATGCAATGATCTCAAACACCTCCAAAATAGACAAGGTAAGTATGCTTCAAACTTTTTGCTTTTCTTGTAGTCAAGTTTCTTTTTGAACCATCATTTGTCGATGATAGATAGTCTAAAAGGTGGTCGTGTCAGGATTAACATCTTTTAGTACCTTTTTCTTGGATCACGTAAAACATCAGTAGTAAGAAATGTTGGTAAATTATCAGGTGGAGATTCTACAGCTGTAAAAGACTGTACCGATGAATAAAAACGTTTCCTTAAAACAACAATCGATTAATATACATTCATTGATTAAACAACATTTTACCGATATTTTATATAGGAAGATGAAATTATTCTTTTCATCAAATACGAAGAATACATGGTATCTGGAAAATGAGAAATCATTATTTTTTTTTTTGAAGATCAATTGATGATATTTATATATTTTGATTGTATTTATTCATAAAAAAGAGTAGAACCTTTCAATTAAAAATATAATAATGGATAAAAATAGTTTATTGATGTGAATATTTCATGAGAAATGAACACATTGATCGTATTGCATTTTGTTGCTCGATTCCTATGATATCCATCTATGATTTAGGATAGCATAATCATAATCGAAGAGCAATAGATTGTGTACATTTTTCATGCAATATTCATCATCAATTAATAATTATTGTTCTTAGGACGGACGACGACGAATATCATCAGTTAGACTAGCACCTGGTCGAGCGTACACTTCTAAAATGAAAAGAAAAAAGAGTGATAAAACCTTCGAATATATTGAAGGATAAACTAACGTGGTGTTGACGATTTCTGTTCATAATGAGTAGAACTAGTCTTCACTGAACAATTGCCGCCTCCCTTGAGTAGTCATCCCTGCTGTTGTTTTGCTGTCGACAGGCCATCTATTCTTGGATTAGACCGAAATACATTTGCAATACGACGGCTAACCCAAGAGACCGCATCGATAATTAATCAGACCATAGTCAGTCACTGACTATTGAACAATAAATAAGTACTTGAACAAAAAAATCAATATTTTATATCTGTAAAAAAAATCTAACATAATCTACGTTTGTAGAGAAAAAGAACATTGAACTATACTGATGATACATTATGTTGCTCAATCGACCGTATCTATATATAACCTTCTTGTCATCGTGTCTCTTTTCACTATGCTTTATACTGACAAACTTGAACAAATCAGTTATCAGTTATATTCTATTTGTTTGTCGTCTATTTATTTCGTTCTGTTATGAAAAGGTCGAAATATTCTTATCGATCTCCATCAGTTTCATCAGCAACTTCAAGTCAACGAATTCGTACAAATAAATTAAAGTAAATTTTCTTTTTTTTTTTAATTGTATTATATCAAATCTAAAAAAATAACAATACATTTCTATTGAGATCTTCTGCATCATCGGACTATGAATTTGTTGGTCGATTGGTAACACGTGAACAACCAATTATTCGAAAAGAACATTCAATAAAACAAAATCTTGTTTTTCCTCAAAATAAACAAAAATTTTATCATTCAATGGCGTCTCATGGTCGAAAAATTTACGAAGATATACCAGTTTCATCGAGTGATGATGATTTGGATGGTTTAAGTAAACCATTAGGTGTTATACGAATTAGTGATCGACATTTTCGAGAAAGTATATTCATCAAAAAGAAAAATTTATTCTACAATAAAATTTAAATAAAACTTTACTATAGTCTATCGATTACCAACACCACCACCTTCGGTTAAACGAGTTTATCATCGTCTTAAATCACCTGAACCTAAAGTAATTGAACGAGTATTTGTTCGTCGTCCTCCACCACAAATTATTGAGAATATTATCGAAATACCACCAGAAAAAGTTCGTATAATACATAAAGAAAAATATTTAGGAAAATCAACACCAATTACACGATCAAAGTAAAAAAAAAAAAGAGTTAAAAATTTATCTATTCAAATCAATTTATCTTTTTCAGAATAGTACGGTTAAAATCACGTCAACAGCGTCTGAGAGAAGAAGAAGAAGAAGAACAACAACAACAACAACAACAGCAAACTTTTATTCCTTTTGAAGAATACCCTCAACAACAACAGCAAAATTTTATTCCCTTTGAAGAATATTCTCAACAAACAACAACAATGCCGTCTACTACATTTCAACAATCACCAGGAACAACACTTGTTTATCCTCCACAATCAAATATGCGTACGGTTGGTTACATTGAATCAACAGTTCCACCACATATGATGTTTAATTCGAAAAATCCTCTTCAAATCTCAGCTAAACAAATTTCCAATGATCCAATGATACAACCAACACCCTATGATTATCCATCACAACAAGCACCTATTCATCATATGGGTCCATCAACACCTTATAATTATCCATCACAACAAGCACCTATTCATCACATGGGTCCATCAACACCTTATAATTATCCATCACAACAAGCACCTATTCATCACATGGGTCAACCAACACCTTATAATTATCTACCACAATAAATAATCTCAAAATTCTTCGTATGGATATACTCAATATTAATAAAAACAAGAAAACAAAACAAAGATTTCTTCAATAAAATTTTTAATTCATTCTAGAAGCACATAATACAATATATAGTATATTATATAAAAAAAGACATTGCTGTTAATAAAAGACTAAGTTAGATAGAAAATGGCATATTAATAATTAGAATGTTTTCAGAAAGGAAAATAAAATGAGTTTTTTTTTCTAGTCTGTTTTTCCACCACCATTTCGACCACCATTCAATGCAACCATAATAACCATTGACCAAAGTACAACACCCATTATAACGGCTGTAATCAAAGCCGGATAATCAAAACAAAATTTCAATATATCATACAGGTTCATGATATTGACTTTTAGATCATCTGAAATTCAGAAAAAAAAATAAAAAAGAGGAAAGACAAGAAATCTTCAAGGGTGGATGAAAGAAAGAGAAAACGTTTTCTATTCAAAAAGACAAAAATGGTCCAAGGGATTAAATGAACATGTCACTCTACAACTATGATTGATTGACCGTTCGTATGGATGCATTTTATTGAGGTGATAAAACTAAAAAACAAAACAAAATACAATCATAATAAAATATTCTTTTTGTAAATTTCTATTTCTTATACAAACCCTAATCTTCAGCAGCAGTTCCTTCATCGACAGCTTTTTGTCCATGTTTATCAATCATTGCTGCTCGTTTCATTTCATCAAATTTACGTCCATAGATTGGAATTCTTGTATTTGTTACTTTCCAATCGGTAATATAAAGAAAATAGATAAGAGCTGATGCACCGAATAATGTTAATGACGGTACACTAAAAACAAAAAAAATAATATAAGTAAAGAAAGAAAACAATAATAGGTTTTGATGGCATACTAATTCTTCAAGATTTGAAAATGTCTTGGACCAGTAAATCTACCAACACCTATAAAATAAATACAAAAATATTTGAACAAAAAAAAACAAAAATCCATTTACCTGGTAATTTACTCAAATAATAATCCATAAGTATAAACGTATTCTTTTCACACTTAATCTAAAACAATAAGTATGAAGGAATAATCAGATATTCAAAAAAAAAAAAAATTCTGTACAATCAATCAAAACGACTTAATATACAAAAAAGTATTTGTCGGTGAAGTATGATTGTTATTTTTTGTTAATTTTGCACGTAAACTCAAGTTAAGAGTATGAGAATGAATCTTGTCACATACACTTTTTAAAGATTTATCGTGCATAATCATTATTAGAAAATAAAAGAGATCAAATCAGAAAAAAAGACAAATAAATAAACTGACATTTTACAAGAGGCAATAAGTAAATAAATTTGCATATTCTTATCGTATCCATTATTGAGGTTCTGCATACCTTTAACCAAATTTTATTATATTTCATATAGTTGTCACTACTAGTCAGTACGGATGTGGCATTTCTATTTCGGACCAATTCAGAGAAACAAATAATACTAACATGTTCGAATTCATGCACGATCTATGCCTCTGTCCTATAAAAATAAACGAAAATTATTCTTGAATATCGTTAGAAATATGAATCGCTGTGATGATTAGAAGAAGTCATATATGTTTCCCTTGTTCATGTCTGGAATCAAGAGATTTTTTTATACAGAAAATCTACGAAAGTATAAGCTCACAAGTCATTTAAAATAATAACTGTGTAAAACTCTATTCGGCTTAAATAATTTCTATTCCTTGAATCTATCAATTTGCATCATCTTTTACCCTCTAAAAAATACTCTTGAAAAACAATTACCATCAGCATGATCAACTTTATGAACAAGATATTAATGAATGTTGCTAAGTTTGACATAAAAACACTTTCTATTCGAAAGAATTGGAACGCAAAATCAAAATATATGTTTAAAAAATGCAAAACTTTTACACTTGATGAAATATTTTCACAATCACATTGTTAATCTGATTTTATGAAATATTACAAAGTCCAGCAGGTTTATGTCAAATATGATACGAAGCATAGTCTTTATGTAGTCGATCGCATACGCATTCGATCTCCATACTTAGCATGTTTCTCGCTGTCACAAAATCTGTACTTTGTATTGCGATGATCTAGAGAACAGTGGGTCACTAGAAATTTTATTGAACTTTACCAGAGAGATCGATATCTCGAGATGATATAAACGTTTTTGAATCTTCCATATGAGTTTTCGTTCATATTTAGTAGGCTTTATAAAATAGCAATTTTGACGATTTAGCCTTCATCTTATACCCGAAATAATTAAAAGTGATGAGAGCTAATCTCCGGTCAACTCAACCGGTAACTGTTATGAACAGAAGCGATAATGAAAATCTTCGACAGAACAATATCGACTCTAGAGAAAATCACTTATCATTCTAATGTTAGTTCAAATCCTATTGCCAATATTTGTGATAGCTTCGCACCACATTTATGTAGTCCTTTACAAGATTCTTTACTTACCGGACGTACGAATCCAAAGTTATCATTTTCTGTTGCGCTGATGTCAAGAATAAAGAGTCAGAAAATATGCCGATAGAAGGTATTGCACTGTCTTATTCATATGTCGAAGAAGGTAAAAGTTGTTTTAACAGTGAGGATTTGTAGGGAATCTTTTTTCGTACCAAATTCTTATATTTCAAATCAAAACTGATTATATATGTTAAACTCTTTACCTTGGTTACACTATAAGTAGTGGATGTAAAAGGCTTATATCAGTCCCAGCAGCAAAGTGGATATATATCTCATCAAACAAGAATGTATCTTATGAAAGTTAAAATAGCACGTTGTTATAAATTTCACTGTCTATCTACAAAGACGTGACATGTAAGAACTTACCATATATACTTAGTGCGATCTGCACTTGGGATGTTGCTGTGACTACAGTAAACGTTTTATTTCTACTGTTCATAGTGTAACTAAGGTATATAACTTAAGAGACGGTTCGTGACTCAATGGAGGATATTTACTATAGACTGTCACACGCAAAATGTCGACACAGTGTTCTGATCATTGAAAATGAAAAAGTATGTAAAAAAGAAATTATAAATTCAAAGTTCTAGCCTTCTCTGAGTTATTCTTCAATAATTATGAAAAAAAACATTTGGTATGTGCCAATGGAGCTCCATTTCATTTTTCTTTTTACGCCTTGCTGTTCTCACTCTATAGTTATTTTTTTTCTATATATCAAGCAAATTGAATCGAACACAATATCTCAAAAAGATAGAACAAGTTTTTCTCTACAAAATTGGATATTTCAACTTTCTCTAGTTGCTTGCTGAATATGAATTTTCAGAGTCAATATCTACATATACTGCACAAAAATTACATAGTAATTTTGAAAAATTTTTACCATTTTTTGGAAAAAAGATATTGAAAAACATGTGGATCGACAATGATTTTCTGTGGATTCGATAGAATGAAAAAAGCTCTACAATATGTATTCAAAAGAGTAATCAAAAAGTAAGCATATAGTACTTGAAATCAGACGAGAAGATGATGAAGTGATAGCTAAAAACAGCACATTTTCTGTTAGTTTTGAAATATGAGAGTTTAAAGTATAATATCATTAAAATTCTTTTTTTACAATGAACAGCTAAACCATTAACTTCACATATTGAATCTACTAGAAATATTAGTTCGAGATAGCATTAGATAGAGATATAATCTATAAGAATGAATTGTTTCTTCTCTATATTAATATGTTCGAGTCAATATTCCATCACTAATTACCATTCAGACTGAAGATTTTAACCAACCAACTGAGTTGTATGATGAACTGAAAACTTTTCTTGATCGGGCTATTCTCTGAATATGTATTGAAATGAAATAGGATCACAGTGCAATTCTGCTGCTCTTAATAGCATCGTATGTTGGTGTTTAGCTAGTTGTCTGATTTCTTGTTTTTCAGTCGTCACTTAAAATGGAACCACCTCAACTGTATCCTTCCGGTAGAGCTCATATTGGATTTACAAGAAGATCTCAGGAAAAATTAGAAAACGTCTACAAGGATTTGTTCCCGTACCCCTTTGAAGCCGGGTTATGACTGTTTCACTGAATTTTGGGTCCATTTGAAGGCATTTACTGGAAAATCAAATGATGGGTAGGGGTAGACATGGGAATGAATGAAGAAAATATCCATACCTGCACCCTTCTTCTGATAGTCATGATTATTTCTTATTCCAAAGATTCTTAAAGCATGGGTCATGGACCCCTTAAACTACTGAACTCGACCAGCTTTCGATTAATCGTGTTGGAGAAAACAAAAGTCCTAATATATACAGGAAAATTTATCTTTTTTCTCAAAATCAATTTTTTGAACAGAAGAAAGAATTTCTCCTCCGCCAGTTTCTTCCACACAGTATGTCCGATCGGACTCCGATTTTTTTAAAGAGTACTTTGGCCAAATTGGAGTGCGTGTTTTTTTTTCTTCTTCAAAATGTTCCTACGATACTCGGCATCCTTTAAAAATTTAGTAGCATTGAAAAAAACACCTTTTTTCGACGGTACTTCCAATATTTTGATTCTTCTACACTCTAAGAACGATATTTTCGGAAGAAAAAAACACGTACCCAAATTTGATCCTAGTTGTCATTAAAAAAAGATACAGCTCGAAAAATTCAGGTATAGAGTTTTGCAGGAGGAAGGGGAACTTCTGACCATTTTTGAGCATTGCGATCAATATATCTCCCTGAAGGAAGCATCTGAGAATTTTGAGTGTATGACAACCTTTGCGTTACTTATCGAGATCCATCTGCCTTGAAAGTTTCATCATTTTTTATCTAGCTCTTTTCGAGAAACCTCGGAAAGGGGAGTTCCTTAAAGCAGACTCTTTGTTCAACATTAAAAACTTACTGATAATTTAATTTTAACAATGGGCACTTACGATTCACCATCAAGCAATTAATATTATAAGGCCAGTTCAACCTCAAAACATATTGTGAGAGAATATAAATTCGCAGGAATTGTCTTCCTACAAAGTAACTCAGCTGGTTG